TTTTAATATTGGTCTTGTGACACTGAAATCTTTTTAACAATCAATGTGCAGATTTTTATATCATTGACAATTTAACATCATCGTTCATTTATACGTAAAGTAAAAAATTGTACTATATCATTCGTTCGAATCGTATGACAGCAGAGAAATGATTGAAAATATAATAACAATTTTTCTACTAATCGCGTATCTTTTTACGGTGTTCCGCCACATATCCTTTGGCAATTCTTGTGTCTAACATTGTACACACTATTACACAGACGAAGCTAAACGCTGAGAAATCGTTCGCATTATACAATTTTTGTTCACGTGTATTTATATCTATCCATCTATCTATACATACTATGTTTCTTGCTTGGCTTAAAATCGTTTTAGAATAGACACCGAAAAGACATCGAGAGACTCGAAGGAAGGTTTGAAATAGGAGAGATTAAAGTTTCCGTAACCGGCTATTAACGTTTCAAAGATCGCCTGGCTATAATTAACGAGTGTCGAGCTATTCGTTTATTCCATTTACTCTCTACTTAATCTCGTCTCCTCTGTACACGAATCACGCGCGTTTGTCGGCGTGTATCCACAAAGAGATCGGAGAGGTCACGCGGGTGCCTGTGTTCCTGTGTTTGTGTATCGTGTGCGCGGAATACAGGGTAAGGCGAAGTAATCTATTCTTTGCGAGCGAATAGAAAAGTTATCGTAAAGCTTATCGCAATTTTGATGACAAAAAGAGTGTGTGATTACTGGTTCAGTTGGTACATAAGTGAAGATTGTACGAGTTCAAGATTAATAAAGATTAGTAACAGATCGATAAGATTAATGCTCTATGTAAGATTGCAAGGAACATATATCAAATTTATTCTTCTGTTCTTTCCTAATTACTCTATCATCAAAATTTTGACAGCACAGCTTTTCTACCCATTCGTAAAATAATAAAATGATCTGTTCTTACTCTGTATCATTGTACTACCCCTGACGAAAGGTTCCTGATACAATTTATTTCGTAACGATAAACGAACAAGAACAGAAAATAGTTAACCGCTTTGTACATCTGTTCTTATTGGCTGAAATGCAAAAATAGGATTTGTTCATTTGTTCTAATTTCTCCGTTACTCTTACTATTGATTAAACACTTTTCTGCCAGGCGTAGCATCCGCTTCGTGTAATGTATGCTTCGTTTTTAAACCTACGAGTAGTCGTTCCGTACGGACGGACCGACGGACATCGAGGATTGAGCAAACTGTTATTGCACGGAACGCATAAACTCGAAACTACATCTCCAATTGGTTTCCTGTTTCTTGCTTTTTCATGAACCGGCACGGTTCGTTGTGCTTCCCGCGAGGAACGACGGTCCCCATCACGAATTACCACTTGCAGCGCGGATACCTCTTATGAAACTTTTCAAATACACTTTTATACGCAAGCATGACAAACTGAATTATACATTATTCGTCTTCGTAAGATAAAAGTCAATGTACAAAATCAAATTTCATTGAGCTCGCCTGTTTCCATGTTCTCTGGTGTCCTTTTGTCAGAAGAGTGGAAGGCTAGAATTTTTATGCAATCACGATGGGAAATTTGTGGAACAGAAAGTCGATAATGTTAGATTAATAATGAGAGGCGCGAATATTTGAGGCCGCGGTACGTATTTTCGTCATGAGGACTACGTGTTCCGTCGCGGACGTTAATCACTCGCTCGGTCTCTATCGATTAAACATTAACGGTTGAGAGACCTTCCACCTAAATATACACTTAGCATATTCGGAACATAGATAAACCAGTTAAAAACATTGTATACGTTCCTATCTACCTATACACAATATATATAGATATAATGTTTGTATATCGTAACCATATTTAATAATATTTAATTACACGTATCATATATCATATAAGAATGGAGTAAATAATTATCAATAATTAATTCTTATGCGTATATCACATCTGATCGTTCAGTCAGTATAGGAAGACCCTCGCCTCGTCGCCAACCCACGCAAACCCATTTCTAATCGGTTCTTCCTCGGACCCAAAGAATCGCGTTGAACGAATTCGTTCAGCGCTTTATTCACTGCGCAACTGGACACAAAATTTCGAACCAATTGCAATGAATATGAGAAAATGATTAATCGACATTACGAAAGCCATAATAGTCAGAATTAACGAGGGATTGTTAACAACATATTTTCTTTACGAGATAGGAATTCAAACCGATTTTCGTACAGCATCCAGTTTTACAGATCATTCCTTCTCTTTTCTAACTCTCGCTACGTCTAATCTCTCTTCCTCTCATTCCATTCTCCCTTTTCTCTTTTGTTTAAATCTGTCTTCTCGCACTCTTCCGATTCGTTTTCTGTTTTTAAATTAAACCGATCTCACGGCTACCATCTAAACAGACATTTATTTAATATTTTTTTTTTTGTTGCTTGCTTGGTAAAAATCTGAAATCGCCACCGAATATCAATATAATACACTTATTACGTACTTATAGTATAAATATAGGAACATTCATTAAATATATTTTCATATATATATAATATTATCATCATCATATATATATTTATATATATATATATTAGAATTTGTATATTTATATATATATGTTACTTGGTGTTGTATAGGTAGCTATAACTTTTTAAACGTGGTTTAAAATGCCCAATTCATTCCATAACGCCTGTCCATTGATGCCGCTTTATCCTCTAACGGCTATAGACCCGGATTATCTTTCTATAAATTCAGATTCAAGTTCTATCTATTATGTAGTCCGCCACGACTGCCTGGAGTTGCTCCACTGTGCAATTCACTCGAGTCAAACTTACGTCGAATTCTTTCTGTAGAATTAAACTGGGTATAACATAAAAGAGGTCTGTGTAAATTATTGTCGTACTTAAATCGATTTCGAAAATAGATTAATTACGTTTCGTTAATGCGAAACATCGACGAAGAATATCTAATAAAAATTGTTCTATTTCTTGTTGTGAACGTCGCATTCGATGTAAGATTTGCGTATGGGGGTGTGTACGTGCGGCGTCCTGACAGCTGGCTGTGTACACGTAAAGACAATAATGCATCGTCGAAGGCGTGCATCACAGCTAGCACGTTAATTATCGACACCGCTACTTAACGTGACGCAAACATTTAACGCGTTCTCTCGCCTACCATGTCCTTAAGATGTGACGCCGAACGGTTTCGATTGATAACATCGGTGGAGGTTCGTAAAATTATTTGATATTTTTTTCAGTATTTATTATTACGCTGATCGATGAAACGATCGTATATTGCGCGTAGATTCCGAATTTTATCCGTAACGTAAAAATACGTTTCGATATTTCCACGATAACAGAAATGTTTGCCTCGATTTTATTAAACTGATAAATGTTTTGTACGGAAGTCCGACCGTGTGTACTTCCGAAATGTTATTACGGTGTTTAAATACTTCGGCCAGAATCGTTAGGTAAAAACCACCCCTGGAGGTCTGCGCCGAGGCCGAGAACTGCTCGCGATCCCCTTCGCTCCGCGCCGCGCCGGGACACACAATCGCGTTGAATATATTATGGCCGTGCACATTTCGGTGGTAAGGTACCTACGTTTTACCGACTTCGATTGAAGGACGGCTGGCTATCACGCGAGCTAACGTGCTCGCACGCTCCCTATCGCGTTCTCCATGTTCAGCTTTCGTACACCCCCGAGCATAAGTTTTAGGACGCCTCGATCAAATATTTTTAGGCGAAAAATTTAGTTTCATTTAATTTGAACGATCTGAACAAAACCTTCGATCGTGTTTTAAATATCGACGCATGACCAATGTCTCCAGTTGAATTTGACGATTTTGTATGAATTGAAATCGGATCTCTTTTACATCTTGTTATCTGACTGCTGATTTCGCAGGACTTATGCGATGGGGTGTACTTTCCGTGTCTCGGTGCACACGCGTCGCGTTGCAATTAATTGATTCCTAGAAACCGAGCCGTACGTTCGATTCCGGCGACTTAAAACGAGGACCCGATGTATTATTTCTCGATATCGACGCGACCCTACCCTGGCCACCGCCGTTTCAAGTGAATAAAAATCTCTCCGTAGCAAAAGAACAGCTAACATGCGAGTTGAAATTCACGATTTTTCAAACAGCAGCGCGTTAAATCACTTAAATTTGACTTTTATTTTCGACTATTCTTATATCGTCTCTACGTGCACGAGAAGTTCTCTGGTCGATTTATAAACCATAGCCATTTTATACTGTTTCGTTTATACATATCAGTTGCTAAAGCAGAGGCATGTACATGCTAAAACGGGGTGTAGATATGTAAAAAACTGTTAATGATGTTGAAGTTCATTAAGAAAACACAGCCGTCGCACTGAAAACGCACGGGGAGCGACTCACCCTATTTTCTGTAAAGCATCTCCGGTTTTTTCCTCTCTGTTTGTCGGATGCACGCGTTTCTCGGAACACGAGGGGTTTTACCGTGTCGTCGCGGAAAGGTTATCGGGAGAATCTTCGCGGGTTTTTGGTTTCTGGGTCGAGTGCGGACTGGCCAAAAATAAAATGCTTTCAGAACTCAAAGCTGTTGGCTATTCCAACTGTGCGATACGAAAAATTGGAACTGATCTTCGCCCCTTGATCCCCATCAAAGGGACCACCGCCAAAGAATTTGCAGTAGACTAATTTTACGTCGCTAAATGAAACTTGTCTAATTAATCGAAACTTCTTCACGTGCTTCCCGTGTTAGTAATATCTTCTACTAATTAAGGAACCGTCTTTCGTTGCACGATGAAACTGTCGCAAAAATTATTGTACAATTTGGTCGTATCATCCAATACTATTTTATTATCACAGTAAATCAAACGACTACCTAGCGTAATAAAAACTAGCTAAAATTCGAATCGGCATTTCCACGTTATCACAAGTCGTTGCAGTTTGTAAAATATCACTGACGCCCGTTATCACCGGGCCGCAGGTTCTTATACGAAATTAGATTCATAAACGAATTTTTGAAAAATACCAAATAGCTCCTCTCCTTGTACAAACATTTTACATATTTTCGCAGATTACACGTTTATTCTCATATTTTTCTCGGAGTGCATACAAACCTGCAGTCCGGTTATCACTGATTGAGTTCTGTAAAAAATATACGCGCGCTTCGCGCTCGGGGGCATGAAATAAAAATACGGTAACACTCGTTTCAGGCAAACTAAATAAAACGCGTCCACGGTGTCCGCGTTTATCGCGCAATTTCAACATGTTTTCTTAGCACACTTTACGCAACGAGTGCTTTTATTTATTTCCCTTATTATTACCGTGCCCACGGTACGTTACCTATCTCCTCAACAATTTCTAGCGGCGCAAATATTTGCCCGTGTATTAGCCGGAAATATTTACCAATATAACACCGTTTTGTGTGTAAACCTTGGTAATCGTAACTGGTGACGGTGTCCAGAATAAACCATACCTGCTGAACATAGAACTAAGGTTCGGAACTAACGTTTCTTTGGAGATTTTTATGCTAAACTCATCTAAATACACTAGTCTACGCTAAATAAATATGTTTATCGCTAAAAATCTTAGTATCACAGATTAAAGAATATACGTGTACAAGTCGTGTCTGACTTAAATTGAAAACTGCGATTAACGTAATCTGATTTATCAATTAAGAATTTGGTGATTTTAAAAAAATTATATCATTCAATTTAAGTGAGGCACACGTGTATACTTATTTTTCGTTGGGCAATTACTCATCTCTTTTTGGTATCTTTGGTGTAATAATCGAGCAGAATTTCGGATTGAAAATCTATAAAATTCAATAAAATACTTTGTTCTATTCAACATAGCGTAGCGTAGCTATATCACAGATTAAAAAATGTTATTCCCGTTAGAAATGTAAAGAATGAATTTGAGAGGACGTTGGAATTTCTATCTTCATTAGCACCATTATTATGTATATGTATAATTAGTATCATATTCGTAGTGACTCGATTAAAAAATCGCCAAAATATATCACAATTAAGCTACGTGAAAAGACGGGCTAATGTAAAAAACAGCTTCGTATAAAATATTCTAGTGGGAAAATCAATTGAGAGATTTTGTAGCAGATATCGACGTTTCGTATGTCTTTCGTTCGTCATCGTAATTAAACCGGGGATAGACGTGAACGTCGATCGTCGATGCCAGTCGTTACCTCGGGTTGTCCTATCGAAAAAAATCTGGAACAGGAGAAGTAAGAACGATGGGTGGAACCGCGGTCTCGTTACGCGTGAACGGGAGAGCGATCCTCGAGGCAGACTCGAGTGTAGCGGAGCAGAACAGGAAACGTCAAGCGCAGTCGTGGTCTTTCGGTGACAGAACGATTTGCAGCTTCCCTCGGCCGTCCATAACGCAGTAAATCTGGCGTGATAGCCGGTGAAAACGTAGGGGGCGGCGGCGGCGGGTCGTTGGCGGACATTGTTGGCTCTGCGCGCGTATAAAAGCTAACAGAGGCGTCAGGCGTCATGGAACTGTTTTCCTTAATCCTTCGGATCGTTAATCACGCGCGCGAGACGGGAGCTCGTTCTCGAGTCAGCCTGGACGAAGCCTAAACTGCGATGCGGCCTCGTCCACTGTTTCCCTTTTCCTTCGATTCATTCCTGTCTCCCCTACGCGCGCTCTTTTTAACACCGTCGCCCTTTGTATGTGTGTATGTGTTTGAAACTCGTTGACATTCGTTGAACATGTTCTCTATACTCGCCTCTTTTCTCCCCTCGTTTTAATCGTTGGCTTACGTTCGTTTCTCGACTCGCTCTATTATTGGGTCAGCGAGGTTTCGCTAACCATCGTTCGCGATCTTGCTTTGTAAAACTTACATAATACTAAATGTAATGTATTATACGTAATTTATAATACTAAACAGACGTAATCACGGCGATGGACCGGTCCGTTCCGAGCAGAGCTTCGTTTTCTTACAGACGCTGATTGACTCTATCTCATGTACTCCTTGTATCAATAATAAGTTCTCGATTTTTTATAACTGCAAAGTGAAGATACTCGATCTAAATGGATATATCTTTTAATTAAAAATCGTCGAGCTCTTTCGTGCGGACGTCTGTTTGGCCGGACCGCGATCAACCCCTATATTCCTTCATAGCACCTTCGTTATTCGACTTCGTTTGTTCGCAAATACGTACTTAACATATACAGCAGCGAGTACGTCGTGAATCTAGCTACTTAAACGACTAAACGCTTAATCAACGGAAATCGGGGGTGGCCTCGCAAGCAATGCTCAATTCCCAGTTGTCGTTTTCTGCATGCATATCGACCACGAGATCGAATTCGCAGCTTCCTTCGTGGTAGCTTGTTTAAAGATCGGAACGAAACGAAGGACTGCAACGTGGGATACTCGGGTGAAAGATTTCACTTGAACTTGACGAAACCGTGACACCTCTGAGATCATTTGACTCTTCGCATTTTTAATTGTACATATTCATCGGTTTAATTTTATTATTGTGAAACAATTGTCAAAATCTGGTGTGACACACAAATGACATTTTCTCTAACGTGAACAAAGAATATTGTCTCAGGTAAATGCAAAAAGTAAAGGATGTCTCAGTAGTGATCACTTCTGGTTTCATGTTTGAGCAACGATCACGAAATCACAGCATTTCCTAAAACGAGGCGAGTTGTACAAGAATAAAATATACGAGAATCATCTGTTTCAATCATTCACGATTTTCGCATCCCACGTTCCAGGCATGAATAAAATATTCAGTTTATTATTTAAATCTGCGATCGAACGGCTCTCTCTGTCGACTTTGTGACGAGATCATCGAAGATCTATCGATCACCAGGACGGCGTAGACTCGGCAGGAAGCTATGCAGTTAACTTTCACAAAAAAGTAAACGATAGTTGGCACTGGGACGGCACGTTTGTAATAGATCTCGTTCATTACTTATTCTTAATTTAATGTCTATTTTAGAAGACGGAATAACACGCCGAATCGTTTATATTGTACCGTCCAGGCGATGATCCATCTTCGATTTCTTATCCCTCATCCTTAGAATTCAAACTGTTTTTTATTCTATATAAATTTCTTGATAGAATGCAACAAATTATTTTGGCACAGCATCGAATGGAAAGAATAATTATTCATTTTCATAGTTATATAAATTCTATCATTCATTCGACATTAATAGACCGTGGATTTTACACAAAAAACTGGCAAACTAAAACATGAAATATAAGTTCCATGCATGAAGGAAATTTCTATCGACGCGTCCTCTTTTACATAAAAATTCGCAGTCTAGCGATTATAAAACTTTTGGCCAGTGGCTTACGGATAGTTGAACCTGCAACTGTTCGATCGCAAACTCCGACCAGAGTTTATGGGTCGATCTCGATAACTAGTGCGACAACTGAAAGCGTGCTTGGATCCTTGGACCTCTCGGGACTTCGAAATTCAACGAGCTTGCGAGACCAGCTCCCAGGAGAATGAGCCGGCACTCTCGATCTGCGCTCGCGCATTTTCGCTGGACGATATATTTTTATCGATATACATTATATAGTGCATGTACACGGACCAGGGACATTACATCTGCAGAATATCCCCTGACAGATGGACTATTCAACAACTTTTACAAAAACAATGAACGAAGTTCATACTGTCTCTTCAGTGGAATAGTTCAACTAATAAGTCGTATGATCAAATTATCAGATAAATAATTAGGTATATAATCAAATAAAAAAATGATATCTTCACGTGAGATTTCTCATTACTTTTTTAATTAATCAATATTGGAAGATTGTCCGTCAGAGAACATTCTGTATACTGTATATACACGTAGACAGCAAAAATGGACACATTGGCTAAGAAGAGATTGGAAGGACCGTGGAGTAACACGTCTTATCTCGCGGCTTCTGCATGCTGCGTGACGGCTGCGCAACGAAAATGTTTGATAACGCGGTTTATTGCTACGTTTTGATAAACTTTTAAAAAGTGTACTCGGTCGTCTGTCCAAGGCACCGAATAATGTTTCTCGTAAGGAACTGGTGCAAGGACAATTTATAGAATTCCCCTTCACGAGTCCTAGAACACTTTGTTCAATTTGAAAAGTAACAGAGGTGTTATTATTGCTGGATACGTTTTTTTTTAACAGACTTCGTAATCTCAGTTTTCTTTAAATTTTGATCTGCATTCAACATATACATCGATATAGAAAAATTGATATAAATTTTGAGCCACACTGTAGTTATTCTTTGAGATTTCTATGCATATACTGCAAACTGAATTTTGTCTTTTAATAAAATGTTCTGAGACTTGATGGGTAGTACAGGACACGTAATATAAATAGCCGTCACCTTACTCGCCGCAGGTCGTTCTTTGGTTTTCGAATCCTTATCACAAGTATATTCTCACTAACGTTATGTAAAAACCCTCGAGTTTAATTTTCCTCCATGCGCGAGAATTCCACGCGGTCGCTCGTCTCTTCTCGTTTCCCTAATTGACTCGTCTTGGTGGACCAACGGATGGATGGATTTTCCTCTTCGTTTCTAAATTCTCCTCTCCCTGGTTCGGAGAGCGACGAACCCAGCCAAGGATGGATTCGATGACGGAATTTACAATTAGACTATACCTTAAAAATACTCCTACACTTTCCGACGGAATTCCTCATACTTTTCGCTTAAATAGAACGGACATTTCGCTTGGGCTAACATATACACAGACTCCTCATCGAGAAACCCTTCTGAATGACAGTTGTTTCACGTTCTTCCACTTGTGTAATTGAAATTGCTCGATCGATATTGCCATCGTCAATACCTGTGTCACCGAAAAGCGTCCTAAACGTCCAATCATTGGAAAAAGCTATTTTATACCGAATTCTACCATTTCATTTTTAGATACCTACGTAAAATTCAATACATAATATTCGTACTGTAAAAGCACTTCAATTGAAATTCAATATATCATAGTACTCCAGGATGAAAACGATTCGTTGAATTAGAGCTTAGAGCGAACTTTTCCCATAATCACAGGTAGTCGAATTAAGCATATTGAAATCGTAGCAGTAAGTGTGAAGAGCGTATCAAACTCTAACGCTGGTGTATATGCGTGGTGAGATGTTTAGACAGATAATCGGCCCTGGCGAAGCATTTGCCGCACATCTCACAGTGGTAGGGTCTCTCGCCGGTGTGGATGCGTAGGTGCCTGGTCAAGTCGCTCTTACCGCCGAACGCGCGGCCGCAGAACAGGCAAACGAACGGTCGTTCGCCGGTGTGCTTGCGCACGTGGAGCTTCAAGTTCTCCTTGGAGCGAACGCACTTACCGCAAAACGGGCAGGCGAAGCGTCGCTCGCGCCTATCCACTTCGTGAGAGCTGCGCGCCAGGCTGATCACGGCCTCGGTGGCTTCGGAGCGGTCGTCGTCCACCGCGTTGTCGTCGGCGTCGCCGACCTCGTTGGTGTTGGCCGCGGCAACCGAGCCGCTGTTCCTGGTGGGAGCCTCGGTCATCTGCACCTCGACGGCGTCACCGGGATTCTCGTGAACGCTGGCGGTCTCGGAGACGCTCTCCTCGCGTGACGCGTTCTCGTTGAAACCGGCCCGCGTCTCTTCCTCCCCAGGATTCGTGGTTGTGTCGCTGCCCGTTTCCACCTGGGACGGTTCCCCGGTGCTGGACACCTGGTCGCTCCTCTCAGCCGCCGCGGAAACGGAGAGCGCGCTGCTTTGCGGCTCCGGGGCTCGTTGAAGTCGTTCTAGCGCGTGGTTCAGCCGGTGCTTCTTGAAAGACTTTAAATACCTGAACTGCATGCCGCATACGTCGCAGGTGAAGAGCTTGTCGGCGGGTAGACGGGCGCGATGGTTCTGCTCTCGGTGTTTCACGTACGCGGACCGGTAGCGGTAACGCTGGCCGCACTGCTCGCAGGTGAACGGTTTGTCGTCGCTGGCCTGGCCGGCGTGTTGGAGCAACGCGTGCCGCTCCAGCAGCCAGGCGGACGGGAACGTGGCCAGACAGACGCCGCAGCGACGGGCCAGGCCGGCCAGACTGGCGAAACCGCCGTGACCTAACAGGGAACCGCTTCCGCCGCCGCTCGTCCGCTCCACGAGGGCGCCCCAACCCCCTGCGTCCAAACCCAATGCCAGCGATACCTGCAATCATTCGGTTCTGATAAGTCACCGAAAGAAACGATTCGTTATTTAATTAATCTAATTGTACTTCTAAGTACCGGATGAGAGAGTGCCTTTTGGAATCGCTTGGGTTAGGATTTATTCTCGGTAAAAACTTTGATGTAAAAATTAATAAAAGTGTACTATGGGAAATAATGATAATTCGGTTTTACGGTAAGCAGACACAGCGGAGTTTTATGCGACGGTTATTCTGAATATTGTTCTCATGTTTCAATGGCAAACGGGATGCTAAGAACACGGCATGCAGATACAGAGATTTAAAACACTGTCGTTGTTACCAAAGAAAGATTTTTACTAACTATTGTATAAGATGTGATTTGCAAAGTAAGACGAACTTACCAATAATTTTGCATACTCGCCGTGTATCATTTCTTCGTTTTATCGTGATGGGCATCGAATCAGCAGTTTGATATATGTACATATACATTTGTCATGTTTGTTAAAAATTGGAACGTTTAAATGAAAATCAAATGAGAAACGATAATATATTTGACAAGGATCGTGTCGGTTTTTATCCTAAGTGGTACCCAATACTGTAATGAAATTATTGCAAATTGTTTTTAAAAAGGAAACACTGAATACGGCAAAGCGACAAAGCGGCTCAAACTGGAAAAGGTCGTGTGAACACAGAAAAGAATAAATGTAACAGGTTCAGTGACCTATTGTTAACACAAACAGTTTGCAGCTTTTATTTCACAAATCGTTAATTTACAACTATGATATGCATTCGTTCGCCTAAGAACCGAAACGAAAACGATCATTTTACACGAAACAAGGCGGTAGTAATTACCCATAATGATTCAGTACGCGTGTCAACGTGGTGAACAATTACGGACAAAGTCTTTTTCTCCAATTTCTATATTTTTAATCAATTTTTCTAATTCGTCGACATCCACTTTGTTTTGTCTTCTTTTTTTTTTTCTTTTTTCGTATCGAAATTTCGATATCCGCGCCGCGCGTGGAAATGTGCTCCCGAAGATCACGTTGCCACGCGGTCCTTTATTCCCCTTTAATCCACGTTTCTAATCCATTACATACACATCGTTACTGTTGCTGTTGTTCTCTTTCTCGTCCGCGTTGAAACGCGCTGGATGCGAGGGCCTCGGCGAAATTCTCGCGGCGAAAAATTCCATCCGACGCGTTTCAACCGTCGATTATCACGCAATGAAACAAATGGTTATATTTTTATTCATTTTTCTTTTTGTTTTTTTTAATTCCCACTGTTCTCAAACTCGACTAGCGCAGAAAGGGTCCGCAACTAACGGCAAAAAACTATGCGCACGTTTTCGCACACGTATCTCGTTTTTGAAACTGCTTGTTCTCCGTTCGTTTGTTTGTTTCTATTTTACTTTTTTCCTCCCTTTCATTCGAAATCGCGGTGGCTCGAGCACCGATGGACAATTTATATGTAGAATTATGTATGTGTATCGTGAGCTGCGTACATGTACATGTGTGGAATCTGTGCGTGCACGAGAGCTTTTCTCTTTTAAGCGATTCCTCGGTTTTCGTGTCTTCTTTCTCTCTTTTTTTTTTTTTTTTTTTTTTTAACACAACGCATAGACCCTCCTCGTTCGTTCGAAGAGACTTCTAAAAAAAACGATCGCACACGTTTATGCATTTCGTTTTTGCTTACTCTCTTCGCACTTTTAGCACCTGGAGACGATAGAACTGCGGGTTATTGCGGGTACGGACGCTAGAAGGACGCACAAGCTTTCGGAACACCGTTTCTCTTCTCTTCTTCCTGTCCTCTCTTCAATGCTTTAGCGTTCCTCTTGATTGAATTATTAATCACTCGTAGAATGAATCAATTAGAATTTTATTAAAACATGCTCTTGGAAACGTGTGTACGTTCCAAAAACTAAACTTCATCGTCTCAAACTCATTTAATAAACGAATGATATTTTTATTGACTCATTCTGTGCATTTTTTTATTATTTTCAACGCTCGACCAAAGCGTTAGCTAAAGATTGACAGAGGACTGGATCGCGAGACGCAACAACTTTACTAGCTTCGACACTTAACGATGATCGCATTTTAATAATAATTCATATACGTGCGATATCACCGATCGCAATATCTCAGATCAGCAAGGTCGCCTTCGAGTGTTCTAAGCAGATCACGCAACGCTCTGAGTGCACGTGGGTGTTCTCAAAACTGTAGATTATCCATGGACATGGCAATCAGTCTGAATATTATCTTTTGTATAAAATGAACAAATTTAATCCGACAGGAAATGATTAAGAAACGTGCGATTAAAATTGATATTAATTATGTGAAAATAAAACTGACGAAGCATAATTAATGTAATAAATTACAGAACCTTCGTGTAAGAGAATGAAATATTAAAATTGCATTGTCGCATTATTGGTATGAATGAATTTTATTCGATTAATATGGAAATTGATGATCGCGAGTTAATTGAGGATTGTTTCGAAATGAAATCGCTTTGAAAATCGGGCGTTACGTCAGGATTGTCAGAAAATAAAACGTGAACCGTGACACGTGGAGGTGTAACGCGAAGATTATCCTCGTGGCTCGTCGGAACCATTGACGTAAACCGTACGTGACACGGCTCGTGTACTTTTCACGTCTCGGAAACGGTTGCAGCGAAAAGAACTTGTCAACCGTCCGCGAGAAACGAACAGTGGGACACGTACGGCTAGATAAATCCTTTAAACGCTTCGGGAACTCCCGCATGTTCTATTTTTCAATTTATACTTCGCGCCGGTTATTGTTTTCGCAGTTAAGCATCGACAGATTTCGCGACGACAGCAATTGAATAATAATTCTTCTAATTCTTTTCTCGTGAAAAAATGAAGAAATTGCATGAAGCGAGTGACGAGAGTAACAGAAGGCTTTCCTGTGATGAATTCATTTACAAATTAAATTACTCGATGGAGAACTTGGATAGCTGCGTTGTTGCGTCTCGCATGATCGTACGACAGTTATTTGAGTAAGAAAACAGAGAGAGAGGCGACCGAGGCAAACTAGCTACACGCGCAATTCTGTGAACGAGTCTCTCTAATCGTCTCAGACTCGTGAATCGATTAAGTCGAAGCGATTGATTTCGGACGTCAGTGCTGCTTTGGGCGTCGAGGTGTGTCGGAACGACGTACAATGTACACGGTTTCCTCAATCACTTATCATATATCCGTACTCCCCCGGTTTCTTCCAATGCGTACATTATTCGGAAACGGCGATGGTATCGAATCGCGGCCGAGAGATTCGGGCGACTGCAAAGCAAAATTGAATTCTACAAAAATTGTATTCGTCGGTTGGCACACAAAAACGAAACGATTGCGGCGTCACGGCGCGCGCGGTGTGTCGCGCGGTCGCCGTGACTTTCGTTACAAGAGAGTGTATGAAAAATATTCCGGCTTGGTCTTCCTTCGTCTTATCTCCATCTTTTTTTTTTTTTACTCTTATCATTTTCATTTAAATACCGTTTAAAAAAGTTATTGCATCTGGGTAAACCTATGTTGTATAGGTACGTAATAACTTCATTTCCATTTTATCGTTAATATGGTACAAATATTGTTGTATGAAGTCGGTACAAACGTTACTGTGTAGAAAACATAACAACTCGTAGGTTCCTCTCGTCTCAATCTCTCATCCCTTGCGTTTCACTTGTCTCGCTTCCTCCCTTAATCTTTCTTTTTTTTTCTCTCTCTCTTCTTTCTCTATTATCGTTTCACCGTCTCTCTCTCTCTTCCATTCGTACACTTTCTCACACGATTCTCGCACGCTCGCTCTTTCTCTCGTTTTCCCTTTCGTTCAATCTCAACGTTAAGTAAGGTATACAAGGTATCTATCGTTATGGGAAAGCTTAGTTAAGTGTTATACAATCCGATCTTTTTAGTACTATGCGAGATTCCGATCTACAGACTGGTTTTCCAAGGTATCTGAACGCGCATACGGTGAACAGCAAAATCGTACCAATCGAAGCGCCGATGATCGAATGATAATCCGTTTACATCTCGCAATCCCTTGCGGGAATATGTAAACGAAGAATTGTTTCCTACGGAGAAACTTTTATTGGTAACAGTTTTGTTCCTCGCTGCGTTTACGCGTTTATGGGTATTGTATTCATACGTGTACACCTGTGTTTAACTGTTCGCGTTTGTGTTCCTGCGGGTATCCGGAGCAAACGAGAAAGAACGAACTGAGAAGTGAATGAGGCGATCGAGCTCCTTTGAAAGGACCAGTTCAACCGTTTAATTAATTTATTAATTAATGTAAATGTGCAAAATGGTCTGACAGTCCTCTTATAAAAATAGTGATTCTTCAGCTAAACATGTTTCAACATGCAGTCAAGTCCTCGAAACTAATCGTCACTTGGTTTCATTGAATTTTCAATTAAGCAAATGATCGTAAGAATGTTCAAACGATGAATCTTGATATCATATTCATGTATTATCAAATCACAGCAGAAGTGTTTAAATTATTCAATTATTCTTTACCCTAAAAGGAAACAACTTAACTATTCAGTACACCAATACATGCTTTTTATCAACTACCTATAAAACGTTAACAGTCAATTAATATACTCTCTACCTCACCAACCTAATAAAGGCACACTACATCAGATCTAATCAAAGGGTTTCTTAATAAATAAAATTCTTATCCTACAATTCGACTATTATTAATCAACCTTGTAGCTATTCTTTATTTTTAATCTCTACAGTTCTTACGACGTATTAAATGATTCGTGACGAATTTTTTGCCTCTACTTTTATCGTTTGTAATGAGCATTCATGGATCTTGACTCTGTGACTCAAAGATAAAAATAGGATGACGATCATCGATTCTATTCAACATTTATAATTCGTTTAATCGAAGTTTCATCGGGCTTTCAATCCTGTTAGCAAATATGGAAAGAATGCGAGCTAGCATATCTCATTTCGACAATTTCATTGTAGGATGGCTCTAAAATGTGCAACGAGTGCATGAAAATGATCAAC